TGGTCACTTTCCGCGCTTGAATTTTCTTCAAACATTGTCTAAGTAAAGACCATATCAACGATGTGCATATCATTTATGACATCATTTTTTACACATTTTTAATATTAGCATAATTTTCTGTATGATTTCATTTTTGTTTTTCGTGTGTTATTTTACACTAGTCTTTGTTTATATTCAGGCATTGCAACATTTGGGTGTAAGGTTAGATTTGATAAGACCCTCACCAATTTTGCATTTTCTTACAATGGACAGGCGATCAATTCAGCTTCAGGTGGGATTATTAATCATTGTTCTGTATCATTTTGTGGTATGTTGTTGCTGTGTTTGGTATTTTTATTGTCTATTTTGTGAATACTTAAGCCGATAAATGCCTAAGTTTCCTTTAAAACTTACTCTCGAGAAGGTAACAAGACAATTCTAATCATTAAATGGGTAAGCTTTTCAATTCACCTATATCACTCTACAAAATCAAAGAAAACGAGGAAGCTGTATATTCACGCTAGGCATATATAGGCAAGCTAGGGTGATTACATTATTTTTCTTTTATGCTTGAGACGCAAGTTTCAAAGGAAACTTAGTTATTTATCGGTTATTCCAGGTATCTCCACTCATAGAACACAACATCACATTTGTTTAATGTATTATATTTGTATAATTTATTATTATTAATGCTATAATTTTTTGTCTGTAGTGATTATTGTTTTCCAGATGAAATAGGATTCAAAACACCATGTAAATATTTTTTTAAAGTAAATAAATAAACCCAGCACTATACTGGCAAATTTTTATAAGCCAAGTAAATTCACTGTTTAAAAATTCTTCAACTGGTGCAGGTATTTAAAAGCATTAATATTCAAAGGGTTTAGAAATACAAAATAAAGATTTTCAATCAGTATTCATTTAACATAAATAATTGGATATTTATATATTTATTGTATATAATTGAACTGAACTGGCAGTGATTAAGTTGATGTTAACTTTCAGTAGCGGATTCAAGGAGGTCCAGTCGGCCTGGGGCCCTAAATTTTTCAAAATTATAAACAAAAAATTGAGAAAACAAGAAAATTATATTCAAATTTAAGTGTCAGAGTACCATCTCGGGCTATCTCAGAGGTGCCATATTCATAGATTTCTTACCTCAGCCCAAACCATGGTATTAATCCCCTATCTATGAATCTGTGAAATTACTTCCCTGGACCCCATTAATATTGAATTCCTGGATCCGCCTCTGATTGGTCTATATGTATTGGTGTGTTTTCAGGATTGTTTCCATGGTGTGGAATTCTTATCAACCCGGAAACTGTTGAGTTATATAATGATTACTCCTGCTATGTGGATATTGGTAAGATTTTAACTGCTATGTTTTGTTTGAACAGTTTCAACAATTACAAGTATTATCAGACAAAATATGTATATATTAATACTCTAGTAATTAAGCCAAATTCATAGATTAGTAAATAAAAAGTAAAGTTTTTCTTGGTGTGGTCTGTCGCACTAATATTGCATTGAAATTTATTGTCTTGCATTACAATATTTAAAAAATGGAAACTGTTTTACCGTGGAATGGGGTCAGGAACTTTGTCAATACATTGACCAAGGGAGTTAGTGAAGTTAAAAAGGTTAAGGACCTAGATGCTATAAAACACTGGCTTGTTATTATTACCCACTTTGTCTGTGTTTTTTTCAATTGAATTCAAGGTTTATTCCAAAATGTATCGCAGTTAAAAACTGAATTACAACAAATGCTTACAATTTATAGATATAAAAAGTACAAATATAATAATATTATATATATTGAAAACATTTATAAAATTTAACAATTCAACAAGATCAAGAAATTAATAAATGCAACCAATAACAAAATTGACACCAAAAAATATTAAAAATTGAATTTATAAATCAAGATAAAAGGAATTGGATTTACAGATTTGGATTACAAGAACATAAAAATAACAATACTCCAGAGAAAATGTAAATTTCATGAAGTAACATTAAAATCAGAAAAATACATTGAAATATTCAAACAGTACAAAAGAACATAAAATACAACATTTTTTTGAGAATTTATAGATTGTCACAAAAATGAGAGACCCTAAATTTGATATCAAGAAGCGCAGAGTAACTTCATTCCTGAATATGAACAAATAAATTTCAAAATACTGAATTACAATGGCTTAGTTTAGTGTACTTTAATGTAATATTTTATTCTACATCGTCTTCTGACCCTATGCAGTAGTATTTTGGTGAGCCCATTTTTTGAATACCAGAGTGTTATAGAAATATAAAATATTGTTTTTAAACTAACTTATAATTGAAAATTAGAACAAGAAAATATTATCTTGGCTACTTACATTGGCCCTCAAACTGACTGGTAACTAATTTAAAAAATGTTTATAATAAAGCAGATCTGTAAAATTGGGAAAATATGTTTTGATGAGTGTGTCATTAGATGCATGAGTAAATTGATGTTTGATTGAATATGCCAGTTGATAGGTAGAATTGTCTTATTTGTTAGATTTGTTTACACAGATTTTATCATATCTTTAATGTATTTCCTAATGTATGCTATATTTTATTTTTCTGTGTAGATTTGCGCTATACAATGACAGTTGTGAGAGAAGGAGATTTGATCAGAAACATGAAAAGGAAACTTTGCCAACTTATGTTCACGAAATATGTGCAGTTGTTTATTGACCCCGTGGTAAGCATTAATAAGAAAGTATAATACATACTCCAAGTATTGAAATACACACCATCGTGTAAGATTGTTAGATTTGTTTACACAGATTTTATCATATCTTTAATGTATTTCCTAGTGTATGCTATTTTATTTTTCTGTGTAGATTTGCGCTATACAATTCTGGTATTTCAATACTTGGAGTATGTATTATACTTTCTTATCTGAGATTAATCAGTGGACCTTTCGGTAAGCATTAATTTTGAATGGGATAAAAGAGGGGAGGTCAAAGTGGGGCTGCTAGTGAGAAAAAAAATTACTGGGTAAAAATAGAACTTAAGATTTACTTATATTTTAAATACATCATACTTAAAATAAATGAAATGATTAATAATGTTAATTTTCATTTGTGTAGATCAACAAACCAAGGACGTGCTTGAGAAATATATATGAACTGTTTCTACTGATGGCATGTCATTTCCATTCTTATCAGCTTACTTTGCCACAAGCATTTAAACCACAACAGAATCCGAAAGTCTTCTTTCGTAAGTAACATCTATTTTAAGTGCGTATAAATACTGATCCACACTAACTTTGAAGTATTTTGAAGAGGCTTGTGTATGACATTTAAACTCTCGTGTGTGTTAAAAATACTTATAGTATTTACGTTAGTCAAGTTCAAGTAACTTCTCTGTCCTAGATAAATAACTATACAATTCTCGCTGATCTCCTTGGGGCCCTGTACAATTGTATGCATTTCCTAATATGTCAGTGAGGAGTGTTGTGTACAGGTACAAATGCCTAAAAATATCTTCCAAAAGAAAGGTGCACAAATAAACCAGTATTTCACAGACAAAGCAGCATAATGGCGGAGACATAGGGACAAAAATATCTCCAGAGTTCAGTACTTAAAGGTGATTATCACCAGTTTTAACAAGTTGCTATCTGCAAAGAAAGGCCCTATATCTGAATAAACAAATAAAATAAAATAAAGGGCATTTATGAAATAAGTTTCATGTCACTTTTTTGATGTAACATCATCTAAATTGATAAACAAGTTTAATCAATTGTAAATGATACCAATAAAGAAATAAAGTTAGATCAAAGGTCTTTATAGTTTTGAATTTTGCTTTTCTCTGTACAGTATATGTATTTTAATTTACTTTTTGATAAAGTCTGTTTATTTTTTCTTCGTAACTTCCTGCAAAAACGGCCTTGTGAAAAACACCATTATGGTGATTCAAGTTTTTTCTGTTATAAAATAAAATTGTTATTATTATTATGTTAAGGTTATTACCGGAGTTGGATTATCAGTATTAAATGGAATTTCCTAGGATTATCAAACAAAGCTTCTAAAATCGTCAATGCAAGTTTTTGAGAATCCCATTTTATAGGTGTTGTCCGGCTCATAAGAACAAGCCTAAAATAATTACTGTATATAATTAAGAGCCACTAGGCCTATTGCATCATTTCACGCTATATTAATTAATTTTTAGAATCTAGGTCACTTTGCGACCTTGCATGATCATTCAAATCTATTCAAACTGATTCAATCTATAAACTTTGCCCCTGATAAATGTGACCCAAGACCACAAAAGTGCTGCAAACTCGTACTCTATCAAAATGGGTTTTTAATGTAAATGAATAGAGCACATCATTAACTTTATAATAAGGGATCATTGACCTTAATCGGACAATTATGTGTAAATTTAAGCTATTTTGAATTATAATTATTCTCTATAAACTGGCCTATGAAGTTTTGAGCAAAAGGCTTTAAAAGTACTGAAGAAATTGAAGAAAAATCACAGCAGCAGTCAAAGAAACTCCTTAGCAACAACACAGTTTCCATTGAGCTATTGCGATGAAATTTTCTACGGTTTGCTGGAAATAGGTTGGGGAACAGAGATCTTCTGTTTTTAAGTCGATACCCCAGGGGGTTAATTAGTGATACCCCAGGGAAAATTGGTTAGGCCCTATACCCTTATAAAGCTAAAGCATCTATGTATTTATTATGGCATCCCTGTTGTTCTGATGAATTTAGTAGACATAAGAAGTGTTTAATTCGTCTAGCCTTGATGGAGAGAGTGTTTTGCCAGGGTGTGGATGAAAACGGGATGGGATGGGGTTACGAGGGGCTTGGATTATTTTTTTTTTAAATTTATAAACATTAACTACAACGTTTTCAGAAATAAGCAAGTATTTGCAAGTGAAATTATCAGGATTTCTATTGTTGCAAGCTACATTGTAGCATCGGGAGGTGGTAAACAATCTGTTTTGAACTACTGGTTCCATCATGTATGTTTTTCATTATGTATGAAACACATACTCAACACCTAATTAAATTATTAAATTAAATTATATTATATTATTATTCCATAATAATGGAATTTTCATTTAGGCATTTTCGTGACAGCTGTCTCTTATACACATCTAGATGTGTATAAGAGACAGTATCATTTATATTATTTTAATATTTTGACATACATCATTAATTGCCTCACAGCAAGAAGATCATTTTTTTTAAACAAGACATGAACCGCTTCGTATCTTTTTAATAACTTCAAGGTTATTTTCTTCAATCAATAAAGATAGTCCGTACCATGGTGCTATGCTCTAGAAAATTGCTTTTGAAAATATATTTCTAAAGCAATTGTAATGTCGACATGCACATTATTGTTTGATGCTTTAAAGTTGTTTGACTATTTTGTACACGATTTGATTGACGTCGTGTGAATATACTTCATCAATACGTTTTAATTTCACATTGCTGAAAATAGTGAAGATGATCGTTCTGTTGGCGTCAATTTTTTTGAAGATTCAATAACCATGACTAGTTTCTTTACTCAACCGCAATCAGTATAATTTCTGATCTGCTTCACTGCCAGACGGCAAGAGGTTTGTTGTCCAAATCTTTTTCAACAAGTCATGAAACAGTTTAGTATTATTTGAATTAATTCAAGGCTATTTCCTTCATTTATGTATACACTTTAAAGTTTGTTCAACTATTTTGTACACGATTTTGAATGATTTCATAAATACATTTTAGATTTACTTCACTACAAAGAACCGACCATTCTACTATTTTATAACTATACTGTTTGTTTATTCTGAAATCACATATATAGCATACGAGTACTAATAAACGTATTATTATATCTAATAGTTTACATTTATCTATTTTGGGGCCTGAATTTTGTGTAGTAAATAAGTTGTTTGGAAGCGAAGTATGGCGGCTTGAAAGTTGGTGAATTTATATTATACGTTTCTTCATAAAATTACAAAATTTTAGGGTTTAGAGTTGAAATATTGAACCTAAACTTCAAAAATATTAAGATTAAAGGTAATACTTTATATTTATGACATAATCACATTTTGCTCAAATTACATGTTATACTGTTTATTTAGCCCATTTTCTCGAAACCTGGTGATGCGAGTTTACAGCCCTTTCGTGGTGGTCACAAATATAGTTGAAAATGGTTTTTAAATATAATTAAGCCATTTTCAAAATAAATTTGAAGGGTATTTTTGAGAGAACCTTTTGTGTGCAGTCTTGGAATGTTTTGTTTTTATTATCATCATTATTATTAGTGTACATGTCTTAAATGCCTATTTTAACCTAAAGACGTTTAAAAATAATCTATCAATTATTATTATTAGAGTAATTAATGTATAGTATATATATTTATATGAAATTTTAATGTTTATATTTATTCTATGCTAATTTTAATTGTGTTTGTAACTTTTGGCGACCCACTGGACAGAGATCTTAATCTCTTCTTGGCAAGCCAGTCTAATATTTTTTTTATGAGACCCCTGCCATAGTCTTTTCTGCAGCATGTAATTTAGACTTTCCACAAGTCTCTAATTTATTGGTTTTTCATTGAGAGACTGGTATATAGCCTTTCGAAGATCGCCGCCAACGTCTGCTTTAATATCGAGAAACTTTTTAGGAATTCCAGAAAAAGTATACTATGGAACGCCATGCAAATAAGCAATATAGAACGCCAATGGTGCCAAAATCGATTTAAGTTTAAGCATTTTCACTGATTAAGACAAAGTTTAGGGACTGGAACCCAGTCTACATGTAATTAGGAGTAAAATTAATTCAATTAATGCCTTGATTCATTGTCAGAAGTTGTCATTGTTGTTTGAGGAAAACTTTGATTGTTATTTATATTATTATATTATGCTTGTATCATTAAAGCAGGTTCACATTCTAAAAGTGTTTGTACTATCTATATTTCAGGTTTGCTTCATTGGCTGTTTCTGAAAATCTACAATGTTGCCATGAAGAATTTTATTAAACCTGGTCAACCAGCATCTATTGAAATTACTCGGTCTGAAATTATCTGGTAAAATTGCGCAAATATTTATATTTTTGTTCAATTTTTTTTAACCATTTACAAATCCAAATTATTCTTCATCAGATAATTTTTATTCAGAAAATAATAAGCATTTTAATTTAATTTTAATCATTTTGTTAATATGTGTGTCATAGAATTTTATCTGATTTCTAGACTTGGATTAATGTATTATTATTTTAGTTCATAATCTGTTTTGATTTTTGCAAAAACAGACTGTATTCTTTTGTTTATTATGTACTTCTGTCTTTTTTCGTACACTAGTATTTCAATTGTTTTCATCTTTTAGGCTTGGCTGTAAAGCATTAATAACTAAGCTTGCACTGTATCCAGCATTGTACAAGAAATTGATTGTGTTATTACGTAAACAAAAGCAACAAACACCAAAGATTGTGGTAAGTTGGAGTCTCACAAAGTACTAGTAACACTTCATTAAAAATTGATAGTTCATATGGTAGCTATTTGCATTCATGTACAAAATTAAAGTACTCTGAAATAAGATGTTGACATATTAGTGGTAAAACAATATATTATGAACAGGTAGCTCTAAAATTGTGGAAGCCAACCCTAAACATCTTAATTTTTCAAGAATAGTGGAAGAAGGGAAGTTAGCAGGGTTTTTTTTTCATAATTCATTGTAGGCTTACTTGAATTTTTCATATTATTTGCTTAAAAAAGTAATCTTTATTTATGCATACAGCACAAATGCTGTTTGTAAAATGCTCAGTAGGCATCCTGTACTGGGACTTGACATTGCCTCCAACATTCTACCTCGTTAAGAGAAATGCACGTATGACATTATGAAAATTATGATTACTGTTTGCTAAATATTGGGAATATTATTTATTGTTGTTTTTGTTTTTAATAATTATTTGTAATTATTTTTGGAACACACACGTTTGAGTATACCTCTGTATAGATGTTTTTTATATACTAAGGAAATGTTTTTATTTTTAAAAAATGTGATTTAAAAGAAAATGATAGATTGGATGAAACTTATCTCTGAATATTTAGAAACATGTGCAGAGGTGTGGACCCACTACCCCCACACCATGGTTAGTTGGTGTTAAAATACTAAAAATTACCATTAGGATTTCATTGCACAGGGATTTGGTTTGAATTCTGGGATTTAGTTCCGCATTATCATTTTTCACACCCCACAGGCCGAAACCAACCTATGCCCCTGTAATGAATGTATTTAATTATCAATTGTCTTATTAAAGTCATGAATAATCTAACCAAATGATTATATTTAATATTTTTTGTATGATATCTAGTTATAATTCTTATTTTTTTCTGTTGTAGAAAGTTCGGCTAATGGATGCCACCGTGCCAGCCATCCCAGAGGCATTCAGAAAGATTGTATCCTAAAACTGGGCACTCGCTGCGCATGACGGTCGTCGGCCGATAGGATTCTACGAAGGACTCAACAGCAAGGCGCGTGCAACGGGTCGTTTTAATTGATGATCCATTTGGACTGTCACCGACAATGAGCAGACAGCACTGCATCATCAACGGCTCACAGGGAGCGAAGTTGGATTTGTCCCTTCCTTTTACAATTAAATGCAGGGCGGGATTGTCAATTTCCTCCTTTAAAAAGATACTTAAGCTTCATCTCCTTGACGTGACCGGTACACATAACATTGTTTAATATATTTGGTTGTTCTTATTTGGGCGTGCTTCTTTTTTACATAATGATATTTATATATATTTTTTTTACATAGCTTTTAAGGAAAACAATTAAATATATTTTTATACTATTTTTAAAAAACTATAAAAACATTTATTGATGTTTCGTTTTTCTCTATGAATGTGCTGTTTTTGCTGTTTGCTCTATTTTATGTCTCTTTTGTAATTTGTCTGTTGTGATGAGGACTCCCCTGAAAATCAGCTTCGCTGAGTGGGACATTTCCTCTTAAAATATTAATAAAAGAAAAGAAAGATAACATTTAATGTGTTTCTAAGGCCAGGCTCACTATGCCGATGGCGTATCTAGGGGATCTAGGGTGATACCTTCATAAAAAAGACTTGGTGTGGCCCCCTTCCCTCACTCATTGTTCCTCAAAAAATCATTGTCAGTAGTTAAAAATTACCTCAAATCACTCAAATTTTGCTAGCTAGCACCCCCACTTAATTATTGAGCCCCATATTCTCAATTTAATGCTGTTGGCCAACAACTGTTAGCACAATGTATGTATGCGTAATAGTAATGAATACACTTAATTTTTTTTTTTTAATTAAGTATAAAGTACATGAAATAAGTCAAAATGCAATCATGAATATGCTATTGTGTTAAATGATTTGTTTTGCCAACTGGTGTGATTTTTTCATTTTTGTATATGTTGTGTGACATTGTTAAAGGATATAAGAAAAACAATTATATAGGAATATTGTGTTTAGTTTTTGCGCACTTCTAGACGAATGCTGGTTGAAATGAATTCTGTATAGTGGTCTGTTGAAAAGAGATTCATATACTCTGCAGAAACTTCAAAATTCTTGCATCTAGACTCATTCTTTTTTGTGAAAAACGCACTCCTACCGCTCCCCTTATTCGTAAACTTCATTGGTTGCCTGTCTAAGAATGAATTCAATTCAGAGTTTTTCTCTTCTGCCCTTTGTATATTTCCGATTACCTAATACCATTTGCGCTAACTAGATCTTCCAACTCCATCCAACTTTGTTTGACCGGTCTACCATAAAGGGATTGGTGACAGTTAATTTCCTTCAATGTTGCTGCCCAACTTTGGAATGGTCTGCCTAATTTTCTTAGTTCTTGCGATTCGCTTAGGCAGTTTAAAGCCCATCTAAAAACACACCTATTTCAGTAGTTTCCTGTCACCTTAAGATCTTATTTGTTTATTGTTTTGTTTGTTTCCTTATTTTTCTATCGAAACTTTTTTTTCATTCTTTTTTTACCATGTTATTAAAATTATATTAAAGGAATATTGTATCATATCGTAACTTGTTTCGCGAAATTATGTTTTTAAAGATCTTCAAAAGAGGGCGGAAAAGAAATAAAAATAAAAGTTTGTTTTCTCTACAAATAGGTTTGCCAAAAACATTCAGACGGAGGAGAAAATATAGATACAATTTTATTGGTGAATGTAAACAGTGTAGTAATAGGATGGTTTTAATTTATATAATTAGGAAGAAATATACATATCTTATTTTTGAAAATTTTAAGGCAGACATGTGCGCTAATTGACCAAAAATGAAATTTAAATTATATTCGAAATCATCATTATTGGTGGGTGGCGGGTTCACTGAATAAGCTATAAAAAAAAAAGTCTCACCTTAGCGAACATTGCGAAGATCTGAATCCGCGCATGAAGAGGCCACCCCTGTACTCATTTCATTTATTTATTTTGCACAAAGGCCATGACTTTTACTGTACTTGTATACACGCATATAGTAAAACAACGTGCATAATATAAACTCCACCAAGCGTATATAACTGTAAAAATAGTCATAAAAATCGTTATAATCTTCCTTCTAACTGAACCAATGTTTAAATAACATAATAAATGTTCTGATAAAAATTATAATTAATTATGTAGATAAGCTCATGAAACGTGAAGATACCACCGTTAATAACATTAATGGTATTATACACCATTATTTATATTTCAAATAGAAAAAAATATTGGTATTAGAATTTCTCACATTATACTGTTACAACACAGATACTATAATTCTGTGTGTTAAAGGTGACATAGTTATGCCATTAAAGATCAGCTTTTTTGAAAGATCGGCGACGTCTGGTGTAAGTGGCCAGTAACCGTCTGCCCATGAACACGCGGTTGTCAGCGGCATCCACACCCAAGGCATCTTGTTTGTTGGCATTGATTGCAGTATTCTATAATGACAATGAAAACTAATTATAAACGCCCATCTGAGCATTCAATAATATTCATAAATATATACATCAAGTACAGATGACGTCAGCAGATATTGAGAGATATTGCTCAAGGTTTCTTCTAGATGTTTCTTGAGTTTGGTTTTCAGTATAATCGTAATAAATAAAAAGTACGTAAGATAATATAATATGTACGCAGATATTAGTTTTTTTTTGTTTTTTTTGTTTTTTTTTAGTTTGGTTTTCAATATACTCGTAATAAAAAGTAATAATAGGTCCATGATTATAACGTGGACAATTAAATTTCAATAATATTTCCAGTAATGTAATGTAATGTAGGCCTACCTCTGTTTCTTCCAAACAGTCAATAAGCACCGCTGAAGAGATCAACAGCAAGAAAATCAAACAGAAGCCTGACTTATGCATGACGAGGTGGAATCTATATTAAAATAAGTATAACTATGTTTAAAATATTTATTGAAGAATGTGTTCACCCACCTACTGTAAAGTAATAATAGGTCCATGATTATAACGTGGACAATTAAATTTCAATAATATTTCCAGTAATGTAATGTAGGCCTACCTCTGTTTCTTCCAAACAGTCAATAAGCACCGCTGAAGAGATCAACAGCAAGAAAATCAAACAGAAGCCTGACTTATGCATGACGAGGTGGAATCTATATTAAAATAAGTATAACTATGTTTAAAATATTTATTGAAGAATGTGTTCACCCACCTACTGTAGCTGTCTGATGACGCTCCTCTACAAACAAAATACGATCTTGGCTGGCCCACACTATGGCAAAAACGTCAGCATAAAAAAACTTTGTTTTCTTAAAATTATGAATAATGAGGTACTGTACCAAAATATCCTAAGAAACTGTTATTTTACCTAATAATTTTCGTAATATTAAAAATCCTAAATTAAAAATGCCCTTAAACTATATTGTATGAAATTTCTTTTGTCCATTCCGTAGTCCAACTCTGGAATTCACTAGATACTGTAATCTGAAAAACATTTGAATCACTTCCTTGTTTGAGAAGCATTTTAACGGAATTCATATCATATGTTTTTATAAAAGACCATCATGATACACATCTGTATTCGTCTCGTAGAATAAATTCATTCAGATTTTCGTAAATATATTTCAAATGAATTTTTGTTAATCTGAGTTAAAGAATAATTTTGTGACCAAGTGACCTCGGTTCAGTCGCTGGACAGTGTATGTCATAGTCGACAAAAACAAAAGCAATAAATAATAAAAGAATAGAAGGCAGGGACAAGTCAAGAGGGTAGGTGTTCCGTACGCATTAGAAAATGTCCCAGAGAGTTCAATGTTAATACTTATTTCATTCCGCAGCAAACTTAAAAATTCATTAGTTCACCCAAAAGACAAAATAAACAATGAAGACGCAGGTTGAGTGGTATATCAAATCGGCTGCAGCAATTGTTCCTCTGTGTATATATTTTGGCGCTTTTTAACAATAACTTGACCGTAATTTTTTTTGGAGGGGGGCGAGTAATTTTGGAGGGACGTGCGTCTCCCGCGCATCCCTTAGATACGCTACTGGTGTATGGACAAGACTTCTGTGCACCGGAATCAAAGAACATAAAATCAACGTGGACGCCAATTGCACTGGTGTGAAAACAAGCTGCCAGAAACTCCGCCTCCGAAGTTGTTATTAAGCCTTGTTGGTATCACAGGCGAAACGTCGAGGTTGGAAGGTAGTAATATGAATTTTACTTTTCCAAAATAATTTTCCAACTCAGATTAACAAAAATATTGTATTCGTCTCGGTTTCAGTAGCTTAAATTTCCATTTATTCAATTCTGGGTTAATAGATAACCCTCTATGAAACCATTGTGGCTTAGTGGAAGATTCAAATTACTTCTTTATTGATTGTCAAAATTTGCTCAAAGAAATATTCTACTCACTGACATATGGGACCTTTTCCCTTTTATGTCTAGAAACAATCCTAATTTAAATTCATCAGATTTGCCCTTTTTAACCATTATTTTAGTTAGAGGCAGTACAGGCCAAAATTAAAAAACAAAATGGTATGCTATTTGAAATTGTTCAAAAGTATATTTTAAGTACAAATCGTTTTTCTGTTTGTGTTTTTGACTTAAGCACCAGACCCATTCAGTAAGGAAGTCAGCGGTCCCTATTTTTTAAGGATTGTAATTTAAAGTGACCACTGTATAGCCTACTTTTGTGTTAATAATATAAAAAAACCCAAAAAAAATTAAGCCTTTGTGTATTGAACTAGGAGGGGAGCTTAGACGCAGCCACTGGTTAAGTACGTACTTATTTAAAACTGTTAAAGATTGTCATGCTTCTATATTCACCTGATTCTAAAGATTTTCCGAACAGAGGTTCATTTCAAGTAGGTCTAGTTCTATTAAACTGAAACTTTTGAGCCTGGCTTCGATTTGGCTCCACTACTAAAGCAAAAAAATTACTTTTCTGTGGTGTACGGTATATATTCAATTGTATTTGGATTGTTTTTTGTTTTGTTTTGTTTTTTTTTTTTTTGCTTTGTTTTTTTGGCCAATTTAGCCTGCTTTTTATAAGTACAATTACCAAAATATCATCTCTTTTATATCAAAATGATTAGGGAATATAAAAGATCCCAGTCGTGTTAATAATATAAAAAAACCCAAAAAAAATTAAGCCTTTGTGTATTGAACTAGGAGGGGAGCTTAGACGCAGCCACTGGTTAAGTACGTACTTATTTAAAACTGTTAAAGATTGTCATGCTTCTATATTCACCTGATTCTAAAGATTTTCCGAACAGAGGTTCATTTCAAGTAGGTCTAGTTCTATTAAACTGAAACTTTTGAGCCTGGCTTCGATTTGGCTCCACTACTAAAGCAAAAAAATTACTTTTCTGTGGTGTACGGTATATATTCAATTGTATTTGGATTGTTTTTTGTTTTGTTTTGTTTTTTTTTTGCTTTTTTTTTTTTTTTTTGGCCAATTTAGCCTGCTTTTTATAAGTACAATTAACAAAATATCATCTCTTTTATATCAAAATGATTAGGGAATATAAAAGATCCCAGTCTTTGAAACTAAAACTAGCCAATTTCGATTTTTTTTCTTGAAAAAAGCAAGGTATTTTGATGGTATATGTGCGCCATGGTATAATATTGCCTAATACATGGATTGTCGTCCATTACCTGATTGCTCAGCTTGGTCCTTTCAAATTGACAGTAAGTCAAGGCCATAATTTTGAATACTCTTGTCTCTAATTGAATTATTTGAAATTCTGGAATACAATTTATAAATTGAGGCGTTTATCCCTCGATTCTCTTTTTTATGCTTGGTCGGAGTGAAAGAGCAGACTTAAAGATTGTAAGATGTAAGATTTCTTTTGCTTTGTACATGCAGTTAAACCAGATTGGTCAGCTTGGTCCACTGTTGACAATAAGCCAAGGTCATTAATTCAAATACCATTGTCCAGGTTAAATACTTGAAATTAGTCGGTATTACATAAAAAACACTTTCCATCCTAACCTATATTGCAAACAATAATTAAATTGATTTCCGCGTTTCTACATAAGGTTCACGAGTCCTAAATCTAACACCATGATAACACAGATAGTAAAAATTATCCAGTTGGTCGTCATGTTAATACGACCATTAAATAGATGACCTTTTAATAGTAGTTACTGTATTGAAAATTCTATTCATAAACAAGAATATATTATTTAACATGAGCAAAATAAAATTTGATTTATAAAATTACAAATACCCGAAACTCCTATCACAAAGTGTATCATATACACACACACATACGCACACACACACCCACACACACACACACACACACATATATATACATATATATATATATATATATTATTTTTCCCATTTGCCTTTTAAAATTTATTTATATTTCATTAAAGAATCTCTTTTTGAGATCCAGCAGGCCGCCATTTATGCATTGCATCTTTAGATCTCCGATCTTGTTCACAAATTCACGGACTAGTGCTGTCTCGTAAGAATTTCGTAGGACGCGCTAAGAGTGACAAAATATTCTCTGTATCTACTGGAACCAAGCCACATAGCTTGTATTCCACTATTTGCATTCACACCTGGGCTGTGTATATATATTGCCTTGGTTTAGTGGTCGTGGGACTGGTTTGGGCCCTACCTAAGCTGGTCAAACGTTTCGTTTGGGTCTATACCCTAGCTGCACTGATGAGGCCTGGAAGGCCGAAACGGATCCGTCTGCAGATATTGGGATTCCTTCCAATATATATGTATATATATGTATGTATGTATAATGTGTGTATTTATATTATATATATGTATGTATGTATGTATATATATATATATATATATCAAATAAAACTCAGGAACAAGGTATATATTTGCCAAATTTAATACAGAAAATTCACAAACGTTTTCGGCCATAGGCCTTCATCAGGTGACACCTGACAACAATAACAACAGTTAATAATAACAGTGTTCATATATATATATATATTAGATAAATAATAACAGTGTTCAAATAGGAACATGATGTTATAATCGTGTCAAGCATAGAGGTTTAACGAAAAGTTCCTTTTTAATGCAGTTGTATGAAAAAATGTGTCGAACATGCAACAACTGTCAGGGCAAGTGTCGATTAGACCACTGAGACCTATAGGATATACCTGCAAATTTAACCCCAAGCACTCTTTCTCTCATACAACTGGCAGGCCTTACTAAGCTCTGGTGCGATCAAAGTTAGAATACTCTTCGGCAGATCTTGTAATCCACATACCAAAGCCCAGATAAATTCACTTGAGGCCATGTAGCGGCAAGCGGCGAGATTTGCTCTAAACAACCAGGGGCAGATCCAGCAGATGTTTGAAGAGAGAAGAGGGCTGAAAAAAGGGGGACCGAATGTGGGGCAGGTTCAGACAACACTACCCTCGGGGTATGCCCCCGCGAATTTTTGGTTTTCTAGACGCCCAAAAATAACCTCTGAGGCGTTTTAAGTGATCGATTATATATATATTTTTTTTTTTACTTTCCAAAAGGAAGGGGCGCGACCACCCTTAAATCCGCCCCTGACAACTACAATCGAACATCAAGTGTTACCCAGATGCTGCAACAGCTTAAGTGGGATTCTCTAGCTACCGAGGAGACGACTAAATCAATGTTTCAATGTTATACAAGATTCACAACAAATTTGTACGATAAATCTTCCATTCCCATCTTACATTATTCCATCAATCCGTCAAAGTAGAGCATCAAACATCCTGAGCTACCAGAACATAGAGTAAAAATTCAACAGCTGTAAAATGTTCTTTGTTTGTGCGCACAATACCTGACGTCTGAAACAGGTTACCAACACAAGTGTGTTACAGCTCCAACAGTCATTCAATTCCAAACCTCGGCATTGAGAGATGCTTCCCTCAGCAACCCACCAACAGCTTTAACGATAGAGATGTATTCAGTGTTTACTTGCACCTCTTTATTCTTTAAAGACTATGCACTGACATTTGTTCTGTGAGCACCAAACCTCCAAGGACAAACGAGATGTTTTTATGGAGTATTTGACTCAAGGCACCTCCCACACAAAAACAACTGAAAAATGGCTGCATAAAAAACAACTCCATCGTCAAGGGACACGACTCGCAAATCATCAACAAGACCAAGCAACAAACCCCAAAACATGCAACTGCGGAAATAAAGAGAACTTTTCCTATTGTGTCGAATGCCTGAACAGTGCACTGGTTTATAAAGCTACTATAAC